AACACTAAAACATACTCCAGCACACTTCAAGACAAAAGCTTGATGCAAAATGCATCAAAATCTTATAGCAACATAATATCCCCTAATTAGCAGTCATCCTGCCTATTGATTTCCAAATTTTCTACTTTTCAATCTTTAATATCCAACAAAATTACAAAATTTATTTTTTAAAAATGTTAATTAACTAATTCAACCTACTGCTTGCAGAAATCTTCATCTGAAACACTGGTTTGGTTAGAAATTCGGCTGATAAAAAGTTCCCTCGTAAAAAAAGAAACAGAAGTATAAAACTGTTCCAAATGCTTAAGATGCAGTTTTTACCTGGCCAATGGAAATTATAAAAAAGTTGATTTAAAACCATGAGACAGTAAATTATCTTGCATGGTTGTAGGACCTTTTATGATTCAGTATGTGCTTTGGATCGTGTGCTTTGTGTACAATAAATTCTGTATTTGTTCACCTCAAGAGCGGGTTTTATGAACAGCCAAAATCTTCAAACTTACACATTGCTGCCTGTGAAACTTTCCTTTAAAGTCACAGCCCGACTCTTTGAACTGCCTAGTGATAGGAAAAGAAAGTGTACCTAGACAGAGCCTCTTTGGTGAGGTGTTCCAGCAGTTCATGTTCATCTCCAAGTTTACAACAGGAGAGATCCAAACACGTCAGCTCCCGGAAAGACTTAATTTCTTCTAGCTTTTCAGAGATAACCAGGTATCTGCAAAGAGGAGTGGGGGGAAGCTATCAGTGTTCAGGCACATAAGGAGGGTCCTATGTCCTCAAGTGTCACAAGCATCACACAGCCGTTTCTTGTTAGTACCTATGCGAAAACTGACAGAAACTAGCCAGCTGTCCTAACTACATTTTTATGTGCAGTCTGCACACTACACATCCGGGTTCCCAGTCTTCTCCTTGAACACGTCATGGTTTTGCTTTGATTCAAAATACTGGACTAACAATTAAGACTTCAACTTGCAAACATCACAATTACAGACTTTGTTACAGATTCTTATTGTATTATTTCAGAATAATGCAAAATATATATACCAGCTTACCATACATCAGCTTCACAAACTGCTCTTCCTCAGCGTATAGGAAGCGAGTAGACAAACCCACATTGATCCAGGTTTAAAATCTACTTCAATTGTATCAGCTTGTCAAATGGCAAAATTTTACTTTTTATATACATACATAAAATAGTTCACTAGAGATAAACTCCTACAGGACACTTGGAGGCCTCCAGCTAGAGCTGTGACTGCACCCAAGCAGTAGTTACTCAGTGGGTTATTTTTTTAGCTGTGCTGGTTCCCTGATCTGATTCACTCCGTAGCCACGCAAACATCTGTGCTGGAACTATTCGGGAGGAGGTTTAGAGACGGGAACAAACCACTAAAGAATGGCATGCACGAATATGCGGTAATAAGCACGTAGCAGTCACTACCTCACCAACCTCCCCTGCATTTACCTTATTGTCCCCGAGGCAAAACAAGCCCCACATTCACTAATCTTGCCTGAATTCACCTTGCAATCCCCATGGCAAGACAAACCCCAAGGTCAGCATCTTCACTGCTGAAATGAGGGGTGCTTACTAATGTGATCCCTCAAGGAACACCTCTTTGCCCATGCAAATAAGGGGACCTTAACATCCTCCCACTGCAAGTATACCTGTCAAACCACTGCACCAACTCCCTTGGCTGTGCAGTTCAGCTGTGCGGAAGGCAGTAGGTACAGTCAGACCACAAGCCAACTCTCGAGAGATACTACTAGCCCGGCGCGGGGAGAATGAAGAGCAGGCTCTTTTAGAAATAAGATTCATCAGAGAATGCCTTAATATCTTACTTCCTGGATTTCAAAGACTCGATACTTAACTCAGCTTTCTGTAATGGCAAAAGATGCCAGAGGTAACTTCATTTCTGAATTAATCCCATAAAAAGTATCTGTACTAGAGATAAAAAGGGAGTAGGCTTAAAGGATAAAACAAAAAATAATTGACCTCTGCTCAAACATTCC